CAAATCCTTAACCTCATGGGGTCAGATCAAAATAAAGATTCTGTAGTCTGTAGTGTAGGTCTAAATTAATATTGAATTCAAATGACATTTTTTGTATGGATCTGGACCTAGAAACCCCACTATAGACAATGTCCACATGAAGATGTAATTTTCCAAGGAAGGAATAGATATTTCGGAAATGTTAAGAATGTAAAATAAGGAATAAACCTGCAACTACTTTAATTCACAGCACTAAAAGATGTCAGACCTGTTAAAATGGAAGCAATGCCATATCAGGCATCTGTGAAGCCATTATATTAGCAGTTTAGCTGAGGAGAGAACCATCCTACTAAACCTTACAAATGGATGTAAATTGAAACAATCAGGTAAAAGCGTGAAACTTGTGTGTAGATATCTGGATAGATTACTTTACAAAACTTTTTCTTTTTCACGATGTTTGGATTGCTTTTTTAAAAAAGCCCTACACATTTTCATAATTGCTTTCTCTTCCAGTTATTATATAGTAGTCATCATATTATAAGATCTTAATGTCATTTAATTTTAATCTGAATTTAAAGTTCTAGTAAAATCTATATCGAAACACCCCTGGTAAGTAATGGAATAACGGAAACTCTGACTGAAATATCAGATGGTCTGTAATCACTATAGTTTTAGTAGAAGTAAATATTTCCATTTAGTGTATAGCTCCGATACAAGGATTTATCTCTAATTGAATGATGAGATAGATAGAAAGATAGATGTTACCGCAATGCAATTTCGATTGGTTCAGAATTGACAACAAACACATGACTGAACCCTGATTGGATCAGGGGCTAATGGATTCGGCATTCAAAAGTGTATAGTTTATGTTTCCTGATATGAATCATATGGATTGGAGGAATTTTTTGGAGAAAATGAATTTTTACTTGACATTATTTGCTCAAACATACAGATTATAAAAATAAAAGATTCATTTTTTATATAAAACATTGACATTTATTTCCTGCGAACAATAACAACTTTATCAGACTAAAACTTTCGGCATGAAATTTCAGGCTGAGAAATTTGGAATTATTCGTAATTATATACTTGAATTGTGACTATATATTGAATAAATATCATTTAAGTGGAAAGTTTAACTTCCAAGATGAACAATTGAATCTTTCTGTGAAATGTTGGAAGATAAATTAAACCATATATGAAGGATTATTAGATATATACTGATAAATGTATGGAAGAGTAAGTATGAAAGGAGTAGAAGTATGCAAACAAACAAAGCAATCAGGTTTATGTACACAAAAGAAAATATGAATATATCTAGCTAGGAACATACATATAAAGATTGATAGATAGATAGATGGAGATAATTGTATTAGATAAAAAGACAGAATGAATGATTAGTGTAGATTGTTCATATTAGTGCTGTTGGTTTATTATACATTAACTTATTCATTGTAAATAATGAAGAGAATGCTGCTTATGAAAATATGACAAAGGAACTGAGTTTTTGCCACAAAATCTGATATCATTGCTATTTCTTTGCAACCTGAGGGTGTAAATCTTTGATATTTCAAACTATTATTATTTGATCTAAAATGATTCATAGTTTGAAATATCTAAGGTCTCCGACATTGTGTTGCAAAGATATTGAGATAAGAAAATCAGAGTATGTGACAAAGACTCAATTCCTTTGATATTTTTCACGTCTCAAGGAAACACTTTTCATTTAATTTCTTTTTGCAAGAAAAATTGGATAGTTAAATATGGTTTTTGTAAATAACTAGTGTATTAACTGTAACCCTTTCCATATTTACCATATACTTGCTCGTTTGAAAACCCTTAATATAAATATCTTTATATAAGGGGAACTTTTTGTTAGTGAAAAAGACAAAAAGTTAAAGCTATTAATCTTAAAAAAATTAGCATTGTAGAGAAGAAAAGCTAGAGAAGGGGATATTAAAACATCAATTTCATTAAAAAATCAGAAATTTTGGAGTTATTCCCCCAACCTTCCTTAAAATATTCCTTTTCAATATTGCTTGCTGTGAAATATTAAATTTTCTTTCTTTTAGAATTTCAATTTGATATTAATGGCTTTACAGTAGTTTCCTCAATGCTGTGAAACAGGAGGATGACCAAACTACCGAGTTAAAAGTTGTAACATTTTTCATTGGTAACAATGGACAATAATACGCAACAATGCGCAATGGTTGCTTCCTTTGCGCATTAGGGTTACGCGCAATATTGACATTTTTGTGCATTGATTCGCAATATATATTGCGCCAAAATTTGACATTGCGAATATGAATTTTGCGCAATTGCTTAATTGCGATTTTGCGTTATTGCATTATTGCATTTTTGCGCATTGGTACTGTTAAATACCCTTGTGTATAGAAGCTAAAGCCCCAACCCAGTCCCTCATTTCCGGTAATTCCTCCGAGTCGGTACCAAAGCTTCATTTACATTTACACTATCCCATGTTTCGATTGTGTGAAGAAAATGCTAACATCTAAGCTACTGGAAGTAATTTAGAAAGATAGCAAATCAAAATATATAGAAGAGATGTATATTTATTCTTCTCTTAGATAGTGAAAATTTCTCCATCCCTTTTCCCCCAAACTCAGAGGCTCAAAGCTAGGCGTATTCAGGGGGGCAATGGGGTTCAGTCCCTTCCCCCTAGCACAGTGAAATTTATGGTTTCCATAGGTTTTTGGGCGCCAGCGGTTGCTGAGCCCCCTAGAAAGTGAAACTTTTTACCCCCCCCCCCTCCCCCTCTAGGACACATTCCTGAATACGCCCCTGTACCCCCAGTAATTATAATAATAAAATTGGACATGAATGTAATGAGTTCAGTGATTTAATTAATATGTGTAAAAAAACAAAGTTTGGATTATATCAGTTTAGGATACTCTTTCTTTCCATAAACATTCAAGCCTCAGTAAACTTCTAGTCAAATTATTTGCAAAATATCTTATACCTCCGATATTTATTTCCTATTTTATTCTTATTACGTAGAAAGGTTAATGGTGGAAGTAATAGGTTAAACATAATATGTGTTATGCATAGTGTTATACATTTATTTATGCAAAGGAACTGATATTCTCATTTCTATATCTTTGCAACCCGATGTTGTAGACCCTTGCTGATTCAAACTATGACTTATGTTAGATCATTGTCTATAGTTTGAAATATTAAAGGTTTACACCATCAGGTTGCAAAGATATAGGAATTAGAAAATTTTAGTTTTTTATTATTTATTGCACCTCAAAATCATGTATTAGCGCAATGTAGGGCTAGTTTTTTGCGCAAAACCGCGCAATCTTCATTGCGAATTGTTAATTTCAATAAATGAAATAATAAGCAAAACAAAAAGCTGTTTTTGCGAAATATTGCGCTTGTTTTTATTGCGCAAAATAGTTACAACCCTTTCAAAAATGATAGTTTTAATAGAAAAGTTTTCAATAACGATCGTTCTCAAAACAATCGTTTCGTTTTCAGATTTTCTTCATCGTTAACAAATAACGAACGTATTTTTAAAAGTTCAAACTGACCATTCCTAGATATGGGGAGTTGAAAATTAGAGTTTGAGGTGAATAATCAGTTTCTTTTGATGATTACAGGATATCCAATTATAAATACTTATTGACGGAGGTTAGAGGTGCAGAGGCCGGATAGAGAGGTTTGACGGAGGCTAATTTCAAGCTCCGAGGTTCTGTCGGTGTTTAGTATCACCTAACCCTGGGGATAAGGGAGGATACTCCTACAGTCTAATATTCTCTTACTTTAATGCGTTACATATAAAGAGACGATTCTTCCGTTCATGATAGTACTCTAAAATCTTTGTCTGGTAAAGATAAACAGAGATATTCTTTTTTTCCAAGCTGAAAATTGATTATTTTCCATCCCGTGTTCGACTCTATATATAATTGGAAGGTCACTGGAAGTTACGATATTTTTCCAATACTTTTAAATATATGTAATTTCTACTGAATGTCAACAATGTTCTTTGTTTACTTTAAAAGTTAACTCAAGGCTTTAGAGTGTATTTTGTGGGTGTTGGCCAGTTATATGACTTTATAGACTCCGTGTGTAGACACTTTTTCGCTTGATCATAAGTAAAAAATAATATTGTAGTAAGTTCAGATATTATTTTATATTTTTGTTTCTATATTTCCATTAAAAATGTTTAAAAGTTTAAACTTCCAATTAAGCTGTAAATAACTTTTCAAGTTTTCAAAGATCAAGGCTTTAAAAAATTAAATAGCAGGCATCCCCTGAATAATTGATTTATGCATCAAGCTCTAGATAGGCATAAATGCATTTTGATAATCTATTTTCATGAAAATAAAAAATATATCATATTTTTTTCTCACAGAAAAAAGGATTAGCTTGAAGTTTTCTTTTTATAAGGAAACATGGTGTACTTCAGTGAAAAAAACTAAACTAAAAGTAAGTGAATAATCTAAACTAAAAATAAGTGTACTCTAGTGAATAATCTAAACTAAACTAAGTGTACTCTAGTGAATAATCTAAACAAAAAAATAAGTAAACTAAAAGTAAGTGTAGTCTATAGTGAATAAAATAAACTAAAAGTAAGTGTACTCTAGTGAATAATCTAAACTAAAAATAAGTGTACTCTAGTGAATAAACTAAACTAAAAGTAAATGTACTCTAGTGAATAATCTAAACTAAAAATAAGTGTACTCTAGTGAATAAACTAAACTAAAAGTAAGTGTAGTCTATAGTGAATAAACTAAACTAAAAGTAAATGTACTCTAGTGAATAATCTAAACTAAAAATAAGTGTACTCTAGTGAATAAACTAAACTAAAAGTAAATGTACTCTAGTGAATAATCTAAATTAAAAATAAGTGTGCTCTAGTAAATAAACTAAACTAAAAGTAAGTGTAGTCTATAGTGAATAAACTAAACTAAAAGTAAATGTACTCTAGTGAATAAACTAAACTAAAAGTAAGTGTAGTCTATAGTGAATAAACTAAACTAAAAGTAAATGTACTCTAGTGAATAAACTAAACTAAAAATAAGTGTACTCTAGTGAATAAACTAAACTAAACGTAAGTGGTCTAAAATGATTAAACTAAACTCAAAGTAAATGTACTCTAGTGAATAAACTAAACTAGAAGTAAATGTACTCTAGTGAATAAACTAAACTAGAAGTAAATGTACTCTAATGATTAAACTAAACTAAAAGAAAAGTGTACTCTAGTGATTAAACTAAACTCAAAGTAACTGCACTCTAGAATACACAAAAATAAATAAAAGTGTACTCTAGTGATTGAACTAAACTAAAAGTAAGTGTACTCTAGAATACACAAAAATAAATAAAAGTGTACTCTAGTGATTAAACTAAAATCAAAGTAAGTGTAATCTAGAATACACAAAAATAAAGAAAAGTGTACTCGAGTGATTGAACTAAACTCAAATTAAGTGAACTCAAGAATACACAAAAATAAATAAAAGTGTACTCGAGTGATTAAACTAAAATTAAAGTAAGTGTATTCTAGAATGCACAAAAATAAAGAAAAGTGGACTCTAGTTAATAAACTTATCTGAAAGAAAGTGTACTCCAGTTAATAGGACAAAACTAAGAGTGAACTCCAGTGAATATGACAAAACTAAAAGTGTACTCCAGTGAATAAATGAAACTATAAGAAAGTGTACCCGAGTGATTCTTGAATTATTAAGATGACTGATGAACACTTTAAGATACTTTTAATTCTCTGCATTTTCCTTTCTCAATCAGGTACCATATTTACAATAATATTATCTAAAATTAAAACATATTTTTGTTACAATATTTCCTAAAATCAGAAAACTAAAACTAAATAACAAATGAAATAGATGTTTCAAAATATTAGGAAAATACTCTACATTTGATTACAATTTTCTAAATAAACACTGTAAAACTAATCAATTTAAATTTAATGTGATTTTTAAAAAACCTTGCAAAGAACAAAACTGTTACTCAGTTGAAACTTTTTGATTTAACTTCAAAGTTTTACAAAGCTAAGATTAAATCTTAGACACAAGTTTTAAGACATTTAATATTAAAAATGTTGCACATTAAATCTGATTAAAACTTTTCCAACAATTTTATAAAGATTGTGTCTTTAAAATTCCTATTACAGATATGTGTTGGTTAGGAATATATATGTATGTATTCTCGATCATTTATCATAGAAATATATATATAATAGAATTGTTCAAAGAATTTTGACTACTGAGGATCGTCATGCGAGCAAGAAGAGTCTATGTAACATTATAATTAGTATAATTCATTTTTTTATAAAATGTGAAGTTTAAAAACTGTAATATATATAATAATATAAATTCTCATCATGATCGAACACATACAATATTTAGTCCACTGTGCACTGTACTTGTACAGTGTACCTATGCACAGTGTACAGTTTTCTTGAGTTGCAAAAATATTATAATATAAAATTGTTTAAAGAATTGTAACTACTGAGGATCGTCATGATAGGCGTGAAACATTATGTTTAGTATAATTCTTTTTTAATAAAAAATGTGAAGTTAAAAACTGAAATATATACATACATTTATATAAACATTTTATCTTTTCTCTATGCATTGTCAGCATATATACATCATCAATTAGTTCATTAATTAGTTCTGTTTACTCTTCTAATTAAAACTAATATCCTTGTATAATGGAAGTAGGTATATTGATTCATTTGTGTGTACAATATGCATGTATATATTTATATATTCATGTATAATGTACATATATACATATTCAAAGATGGTAATTAAACATATGAACAATTATGCTAGTAATCAATATTTTTACAATCATTAAGATTATAATGTTTTAGTTTCAAAATATAGGTTTCTAAAAACAATCTCTTTATCCAAAACTACATAAATTCAAATTTCAAAACAGAAACATAAATTTTCTTTAAAAATTAATGCAAATTCCGTTTAACCATTTATTTTGCTGATTGGTAAATATTTGCTGAGTAGACTTTATGGATTTTCTGCAACACTTCAGTTGAGAATATAATAAAACCTAAATTAACCAAAAGGAAAAGTTTAAAAAGTTTATGACACAAATTAAAACAATCAGGTTTGCTATCATGAGTGATTGGACAGAGGCGCAAAGAGGAAGGAGGTTCCCTAGCACCCTAAAAGTAGAGGCATTGCGTTATAATTAAAAAGGCTAGGTTTACATTTGTTGGACAATCTTCCTTCCCTAATAATATATAATAACAATAACATCAACTTTATCTTCTGAATATTGTTTAGTTGGAGAAGATAAAACAAGATGGAGAAGAGGAGAACAAGAAGAAGAAGAAGAAGAAATGCAAGAAGGAAGAATTATTTCATCATCTGCAGAATTCAGGCTCAAGGAGGGGGAAACTGTTATTTTCCCCTGTCATACAGTGTTCCAAGGTAATATTATTCCTCTGTCATACAGTGTTCCAAGGTAATATTATTCCCCTGTCATACAGTGTTCCAAGGTAATATTATTCCCCTGTCATACAGTGTTTCAAGGTAATATTATTCCCCAGTCATACAGTGTTCCAAGGTAATATTATTCCTCTGTCATACAGTGTTCCAAGGTAATATTATTCCCCTGTCATACAGTGTTCCAAGGTAATATTATTCCCCTGTCATACAGTGTTTCAAGGTAATATTATTCCCCAGTCATACAGTGTTCCAAGGTAATATTATTCCCCTGTCATAGTGTTTCAAGGTAACATTATTTCCTTGTCATACACTGTTCCAAGGTATTATTATTCCCCTGTCATACAGTGTTCCAAGGTAATATTATTCCCCTGTCATACAGTGTTCCAAGGTAATATCATTCCCCTGTCATACAGTGTTCCCAGGTAATATTATTCCCCTGTCATACAGTGTTCCAAAGTAAAATTATTCCCCTGGCATTCAGTGTTCCTAGATATTATTATTTCCTTGTCATATAGTGTTCAAAGGTAATATTATTCCCCCTGTCATTATATGTTCATTTAGAAAAATATTATATGTCATACTAAAGTTTAAGATTAACAACAAAAATATCACTCAATAATTTACACTCAAGGACATATTTGTTGATATTCAGGTAGTTCTGTTATAACCTGGAGCTGGGCGGGTAAGCTGGTTTCTGCAGGAAATGTCAAGGTTTGAATATCTTTTATTCAGTTTTTATAACATCTAGATCACAAGGATTGTATACTTTATTCACTATTCGAACTGAAACACCTCTAAACCTTTATTATGATTTTTTAAACTTATTAATCGCTCCTGCTATATTGCAAAAACCCGTTCTTCTGGTGGATTTTTAATGTAAATAATTTGATAAAATCTTGCCACTTTTGTTTAATCCTGGATTTACGAGTTTTTCTTCATCATAATCAGAATTATGTACTAATTCTGAGGCACAAATTTAGAATTGTTGATTCAATTCAAGGTTATAATGCAAGGACAGTTAATTGCAGTTGCGTATACTTTGCGTACATATTGAAACCAGTTATCTCTGGGCGAAATTTGTAAACAAGAATAAATGCATCATTGTTTGTTTAGTATCCGAGGAGGATAAAAGGCATTGAATTTTGAAAATTTTGATAGTTAACATAATAGTTTCTTTTGACCAGCATATTTCATTGATTTATTGATTTTTTATGTAAAAGATGAATCCCATGTCAGGCTGTGACATCCGTCTTGTGTTTACATTACCGTCCAGAGGCAGTACAAAAGAAAACTGATTAATAACTCATACAAACCGCAAAACTTTTGATGGTTCGAAATTCTTTTAAAACGGGAAATCAAACCAAGACGTCTGAACTCCAGTTTGCTTTTAGGTATTAGGAGAGGATCGTATTCAAGTCCTTGAAGATGGAAAAGAATTGAGGTAATCAAAGAGTCTGTATTGTCTGTATAGACACAAATTGTAAATTTAAATTTGAAATGGGAAGGTTTTATTCACATGCAGTGCCCATGAAAGCTTTGTCTGGTCAAGAATGAATTATTATAAATTAAATACTTAGCAAGCTAAAAATGACATGTTCTTCGAGATTATGGATCAGATATAGAATTCTAGAATACTGCTGTGAATCTCTTATCTAGAGTGTAAACACAGTTGTATAATAAATTCATTTAAGGTTTAAATTATTCTTAGAATAGAAAATATAAGAGTAGAGGATCGAGGTGAAGTCTCCTGTACTCTTAATCTTAAATCTAATCCTCAACATCTAAACCATACGCTGCAAATATTAGGTAAAAAATGAGGCAAATCGGTTCAGGCTTAAAGTTTATTGTCACACAAAACATGACAGTTGAGAACTTGAAAGACAACTAAGAGATCGTCCTAGATCCACGAAATAGTTTGCAGCATTTATTGGACCCGAATTTTGAAATAAAATTTCCAAAATTCCTGCTGCCAGAAAGTCAATTTTTTTTAATAGTCCAATTTATTTCTCCTTTCTAAAACAAAAACAGATAGGAAGGTGTTGACCAGGTACAAAGACGATCTTTATGTCGTCTCTCAACAGATAGGAAGGTTTAGACCAGGTACAAAGACGATCTTTATGTCGTCTCTCAACAGATAGGAAGGTTTAGACCAGGTACAAAGACGATCTTTATGTCGTCTCTCAACAGATAGGAAGGTTTAGACCAGGTACAAAGACGATCTTTATGTCGTCTCTCAACTTTCATGTTTAACGGAACTCTCTGTTACTAATACAGACAGTGTAAACTTATTTCTATTCGAATTATTGTAGATAATAATGCGAAAAGTTAAAAATATTGGTATTTTTGGATAACATATATTTCCTTTACATGCCTAACCTATTGGATTGGATAAATACATTTTTGTACATCAATCATATTTTAGGATATTTCCCTTTCTGATAAATTTTTTTTCATCCAAGTTAATCATTCTAATAAAAGCGAAAGTTTTTTTTAAGATGTATAGAATAAATTTATGTAGAATAATACTTTTACCAAATATATTTAATCATTTTGAAATACCTGAACTATCTGCTTTTAATTAGTTCTTTTCTAATATTTTTCTCAAGAGACAAATTTTACATGGTTTAACAAAACTAAACTTTTAAAGTAATTATTCAACATTATTTTTATGAAATAGTAGAATATATATTTTGTGCAGGTGCACAAGAACCTTAAAATTCTTAGAAAAACTTACTTAGTTATTGCTAATTGAAGTACTGTAGGTATATAAAATATCAACAAGCTAAGCAACTTATTTAAAACTTTCCTTTAGTATTTTGTCTAGTCTCAACTTAATAATCTAAAAGGGTTAACATTACATAAATCTTCATGTATAGTTTAGTATTTGGTTTAGTCCAAACTTAATAATCTAAAAGGAATAAAGATACATGAATGTTTATGTATTTGGTTTAGTCCAAACTTAATTATCTTAAAAGTGTTAAAGATACATGAATGTTTATGTATTTGGTTTAGTCCGAACTTAATAATCTAAAAAGGGTTAAAGATACATGAATGATCGATCGAGTCAAGTGTACAGTATATTTCTTAAGTGTACTCAGATATTAGTAAAGGTTTGTTTATATTTTAGTTTAAAACTAATATATTTAGTTCCTCCCAGAGCACATATTATCGGAGCCAAGACTTTGAACCTGACAGAGGGAGAGAGATTAAAACTTTCTTGTACTGTACATGGATACCCTATACCTACTGTACACTGGTCTAAACAGGTTAGTATATAATGTAATACAGTGTACATGCATACCCTGTACACCGATCTAAACAGGATATTATTTAAAGTAGAGTGTACATGGATACCCTGTATCTACTGTACACTGGTTTAGATAAGTTATAATATACCATGTACTGTACCTAATGTAAACTGGATTACGCAGGTTAGTAAATACTGAACACTGTACATGCAAACACCATGTACCTACTGTACCTGGTCATAACAGATTATTATATACTAAACAGTGTACATGGATACTCTGCACCTACTGTACACTGGTCTAAACAGATTAGTATATACTAAACAGTGTACAAGGATACCCTGCACTTACTGTACACTGTCTAAACATTTTTTTATATACTGTATCCTTTTACATGGATACCTTGTACCTAATTAAGTCTAATTAAGTTTTAATTTACTGTACAACGGATAAACTGTACTTTATGTGTACAATATACAATATAGATAAAAAATAATGTTAATGAGATATAATTTTTGTTCTGCAGGGTCCAGGAAGCAGTATTGGTACAGGTGCAACTCTAGTTGTACATGAAGTTAAGAAAGATAATGCTGGGTTGTACACATGTACAGCTAGAAGTTCAGAGGGACAGAGTACAGATACAGTATCTGTACTTATCTTGTGTAAGTAATACATCTTTTAGATCAAATCAAAGTTTTAAAGAAAAATAGTTTTAATTGTTGTTAATAGTTTAAACTTATATCATGTCCCATATAGTTGCCAAGTTTAAGTTTAGTTAATCCTAGTCATATATTTCATTGAGTAGACAGTAAATATGATATTATATTCTAAACTTGAATATTCTCTAGAAGTCTTTGATCAACTTTCATCCAAAATATTATCTTTTTATACTCCTGAAATAATGATGGATATAATTGAATATTTGAGAAAATAATCTCCGATAAATTCGTTTTAGATAAACCCATAATAAAACTACAGAGGAAGTTTCAAAGAGAAAATACGGAAAAAATATTTTCTTTGGCCTGCTCCATAAATGCTAATCCACCAGCTAAGGTAATATTTTCTTTGGTCTGCTCCGTAGATGCTAATCCACCAGCTAAGATATATTATTTGATCTAATAGAATTCAAAGTTTGAAATATCTAAGGTCTACGACATTGGAATCCAAAGATATAGGGTTTAGAAAAGCAGAGTTTATGGCAAAGACTCAATTCCTTTTTGGAATGAGGAACTGTCCTTGGGAGCATCTTTGAAAGGCTTGATTAACAGAATTAGGAGCTTTTCATTTTTTTACTTTAAAAATATAACATTCAATCAGGCATTATCCTTTCAAGTGCTTACAGAAACATAGAATTTAATTAAAGATTAACAATGTAATCAATGCTCTTCAAAAATTTTTATCTCTCACTTTTTGCCAGATGGTTTCTAATAATAACTGAATTATAATTATAATATAAACCTGAAACTAGGCTCCCATTAATAACGTAATCACAGTCTAAGTCAAATTCGATTTATTATTCATAAATAATTAATTTATCCCAGCATGCAAGAACTATATAATTAAGTTCTTATACAAATATATATAATATCATTATTATAATACAAACACAACCTTTTATCAGATTTAAAGTCGGTGGGGGGCGGGGGGNACTAGCTTTAAATATTTACAGTCTTGAATCCGTTAAATACCACTAGCTTTAAATATTTACAGTCTTGAATCCGTTAAATACCACTAGCTTTAAATATTTACCGGGTCAAATTGACCCCCCCAGCGGGAATAGGGTTAAAGCTGGTAAATATCTAGATTTAAGAACCTAGATACTATATATACAATATTGTAAAGGTCTCTATAGGTTTACAGATGGTAAATATCTAGATTTAAGAACCTAGATACTATATATACAATATTGTCAAGGTCTCTAGGTTTACAGATGGTAAATATCTAGATTTGAGAACCTTGATACATTATACATAATACATCAGGGTGTCAAGGTTCCTGGTTTAAAGTTGGTAAAAATCTAGATTTAAGAACCTAGAACCATAATACATCATATTGTGAAGATTTCTTTATATACAATATTGTCTATGTTCATGGTTTGAAAATGGTAAATATCTTGTACGATCATGACATGACAACAATTATTATATTATTCATTTGTTTTAAAAAGAAACTATAGTTTTTTCATTTCTCTGAACTATCCAAGTTGTTCGTCCATCGTCCATCGTTCACTACAAATTGTGTTCATTCCATGAATTTCTTTAGTTCTCAAAAAATATACTGTCTAGGTTTCCTGGTTTAAAGATGGGAAATACTTAAAAACTGAAAACCTTCAAGAAGGATCTGAACAACATCATTTTCTCTCGGTGAAATCTCTCAAGGTAAGCTTAAAAACAATGATTTTCCAAAACAGAGAAAGCTAGATTTTCCCAAATATTTTTTGTAATTAATTTTATAAAAAAATAATATGAGGCATAAGTATTCTTTTTGGCTTCTCTTAGAAATGTTGAAACAAATTAAAATCAACTTGTCTAAAATATCATAATTATTACAGTAATCTAATTATGGTAACTATTATAATTATGATAATAATTACAGGAATCTGATTTAAAATATCTATGTACTTGGTAATATTAAATATTTTGTCCACATTATTAGATAAAATATCTATGTACTTGGTAATATTAAATATTTTGTCCACATTATTAGACAAAATATCTATGTACTTGGTAATATTAAATATTTTGTCCACATTATTAGATAAAATATCTATGAAAAGTTTCCATATTCATCAGTTTATTATTTCTTGGTAACACTACACTCTTCTTGCAGATGTAATTTTATCCTTACTTGTATTCAATGTAATTTATGAAACCGAACAAATAATAATTTTATTGAATTTTGATTTTATTAATTCTAGAAATATTGTGTTTATTTTAGGCCAACCTGATCAGCCAGTTATACTAAGCAACATACAGAGTTACGCTGAGACAGAATATACTCTTAGTTGGAGAGTTTGGACTCCACCCACCCTTCCTATTCTTAACCAGAGTATACTATACAGACTCAAGAGTAAGGTATGCCTATTCTTAACCAGGGTATACTATACAGACTCAAGAGTAAGGTAGTCATATTCTTAACCAGGGTATACTATACAGACTCAAGAGTAAGGTATTCCTTTTCTTAACCAGAGTATACTATACAGACTCAAAAGTAAAGTATTCCTATTCTTAACCAGAGTAAACTATACAGACTCAAGAGTAAGGTATTCCTATTCTTAACCAAAGTATACTGTACAGACTCAAGAGTAAGGTATTCCTATTCTTAACCAGAGTATACTATACAGACTCAAGAGTAAGGTATTGCTATTCTTAACCAGATTATACTATACAGACACAAGAGTAAGGTATTCCTATTCTTAACCAGAGTATTCTATACAGACTCAAGAGTAAGGTATTCCTATTCTTAACCAGAGGTTACTATACAGACTCAAGAGTAAGGTATTCCTATTCTTGACCAGAGTATACTATACAGACTCAAGAGTAAGGTATTCCTTCCTATTCTTAACCAGAGTGTTCTATACAGAATCAAGAGTAAGGTATTCCTATTCTTAACCAGAGTATACTATACAAACTCAAGAGTAAGGTATTCCTTCCTATTCTTAACCAGAGTGTTCTATACAGAATCAAGAGTAAGGTATTGCTATTCTTAACCAGAGCGTTCTATACAGACACAAGAGTATAGCATTCCTTCCTTTTTCCTATATAAAGAATGGAAAAAGTTCATCTGTAGTTCAAATAGTATCTGATTTGATTTGGGTTTCAAAGAAGCAATAGTATTTGAAAATGAAATAGTTGACGGACTTTATTGGGTAAATATATTCTAAACAAACAAACAAATAAAACAGAATAAACATTTGATTACAATTTTTTCTTCTGTAGTCTGTGCATGGTTTTTTCTTTAAAGTTGAATATAACTTTATATATTTCTCCGAAAAATAAATCTAATCCAATTCTTTCAAATTTGTAGAATTGTTTAAACTGTTAAAACTAAAATAAAGACTTTGTAGGATTGTTTTGATAAAACTAATTAAAGAGACTTTCTACGCCAAGGTTATAATTCAAGGATAGTTAATTTTAGTTGCGTACACTCTGCGTACATATTGAAACCAGTTCTCTTTGGGCGGAATTTGTAAATAAGAATAGATGCATCAGTGTTTGCTTAGTATCAGAGGAGGTTGAAAGCATATAATTTTAATAATTTTGATAATTCACATAATAGTTTCCTATGGCCTGAATATTTCATTGATATTTTATGTGAAAGATGGATCCCATGTCAGGCTGTGACATCCGTCTTATGATTACATTTCCGCCCAGAGACAGTACACTGCACTACAAAAGATTCTTTCACCTCTGAAATAACTATCCTTGCATTTAACCTTGATCCGCGTAATGAACGTAAAACACGTAGAAACGAAAAAGAAAGAAGAAGGGTTCTCTGCTACATAAACTTTTAATAAGATTGATAATAATCAATATTAAGATGTTATTTTCTTAGAAACATGTTTACGATTTACAGTTGTGAAATTGACAATTACACATTAAGCTACTTGAAGTTTTGTTTACAGCCCCTGTAAAGAAATTAAAAAAGAACATTTTTAAGGCTAATGGAGAGAAGGTTGGTGAATCTGAGGGAACCTGGCACAATCTAGCTCTAATATCAGATACAGGGGCACAACAAGGGGTAGAGAAGGTAATATAGGGGCACAACAAGGGGTAGAGAAGGTAATATAGGGGCACAAGAAGGGATAGAGAAGGTAATATAGGGGCACAACAAGGGGTAGAGAAGGTAATATAGGGGCACAACAAGGGGTAGAGAAGGTAATATAGGGGCACACCAAGGGGTAGAGAAGGTAATAAAGGGGCACAACAAGGGGTAGAGAAGGTAATATAGGGGCACAACAAGGGGTAGAGAAGGTAATATAGGGGCACAACAAAGGGTAGAGAAGGTAATATAGGGGCACACCAAGGGGTAGAGAAGGTAATAAAGGGGCACAACAAGGGGTAGAGAAGGTAATATAGGGGCACAACAAGGGGTAGAGAAGGTAATAAAGGGGCACAACAAGGGGTCGAGAATACAAGGGCACAATAAGGAGTAGAGACGGTGATTAATGAGCACAACAAGGGGTAGAGAATACAAGGGCACAATAAGGTGTGAAAAATACAAGGGCATAAAAAGGAGTAGAAAATACAGGGGCACAACAAGAAGTAGAAAATATTGGGGCACAACAAGAAGTAGAGAATATGGGGGCACAACAAGAAGTAATGAATACAAGGGCACAACAGGTGTAAAGAATACTGGGGTAAAATATAATATTTTATGTCTAGGATGAGTATAAAATGGATTTAACTGGATTACTAAGTGATGCTGAATATGAAGTAAGGATTAGAGCAATGAATAAGCAAGGATGGAGTCAGTTATCCCAACCTTTCTTCTTTAAAACTTCAGGTATAAGAGAATGGAGCCAACTATCCCAACCTTTCTTCTTTAAAACTTCAGGTATACAAGAATGGAGCCAACTATCCCAACCTTTCTTCTTTAAACCTCCAGGTATACAAGGATGGAGCCAGTTATCCTAACCTTTCTTCTTTAAACCTCCAGGTAAACAAGGATGGAGCCAACTATCCCAACCTTTCTTCTTTAAAACTTCAGGTAAAAAGGGATGCAGCCAGTTATGCAACCTTTCTTCTTTAAACCTTTAGGAAGGAATAACAGCAATCATCAAATATGTCAAAAATGGGAATTTCCAAAATGCCCGTGTATTTGAGAAATTTCCAAATCTTAAATCTTAAAAATATACCTCCGTCAAATACCTTCACATTTGGGAAATTTCCCAAATGCCAGGGTATCTAGGAAATTTCCCAAATGCCTGGGTATTTGAGAAATTTCCAAATCTTAAGTCTTAAAAATATACCTCCCTCAAATACCTTCGTATTTGGGAAATTTCCCAAATGCCTGGGTATCTGGCAATTTTTCCAAATGTCTTGGTTTTTTGGAAATTTCCAAAATCTTAGAAACATTCCACCTTTGGGTAAACAAGCTCTTTTAAATCTAAATAATTTATTTGGGATTTTCTAAAATTTATTATTTTACAATTAAATTTTGGTCCGGATTAGAAAATCCCGCCAAAGTTTGGCCTTTCCCAAAAATGTACGTAAAGTCGGCAAATTATGTATTTTCAAAAACTAAACTATTAAAATCCTTCTGACCAGTGTCTATTCAAATATCTACTTCAGAAAATCACTTCAGTAAAAAGGAACCTTTAAAATCTACCTGAATATTTAAAAATGAGAAATAATTTTGAATTTTTTCCAGGATCTGTGTTTCAGCTGGAAATACCCCTGTTTACTAAACGACAGCTGACAAGTGAAGGAAACTGCTTAATTTCATCAAAATATATATTTTCACTATTTTTTGTTCTGGCGAAATATTTTATCTAAATAGCATTATTTCATTGTATGAAAGATATCATATTAAAGGGACTGTATGCACAATTTAATGTAGCCCTTCATGGAAAGATGGCAATGCCACATTCACAATGGTACCTTTAAAAGCTTAGTCTGAAAAATTATGAATCATATATCAATGTGTATGACTTTGAAAACTGATTATTCACAATTGTGGTCTCAAGAAAAGGTTTCAAGGGTACCGTTGCAATCAGTGCATGAAGGGTCATTTCAAATTATGCTTAGAGTCCCTTTAAACAAAACATAGTTTTGAATTTTTTTTTAATATCTTGATTATTTCCTACTTTTTATACGATAGCCCCAAATCTTTGCATTATCCCTAAACAGGCTGAGGGGGGAGGCGTTTGGCTCTCATTTTTAACACTACCACCGTGAAATTTGTGACTTGTGACTTTTAATGATTAGTAGTTTAAAGGATATTTTGTTAAAAAATATTTTTTTTTAACTTAAAGGGTAGGGTACAGGGCGGAAAAAAATTCCGGTCTGAAAAAAAAAATTCAAAATAGTCCATAACTTTTTTGAGACTAAAGCTACAGATCTTAAAACTATATTTTCAAAAAGCCCTTAAAAAATGCATGTAGAAACATGTGTCACACTTGATATTTGTTTAAAACAAAACAAAAATATTTTTTTTTCATTTTTTGACCCTTATTTTTTAGACATTTTTTCAACCCTCCCTAGCACTCGAACTATTAAAGTTATCGGTCTAATTTTTTCTATGAGCTGGCATTGAAAAATTGGGCAAAGAACTTTCATTTCAACCCTATACCTATTCTCTAAGGCCTTTTTCTAGGGGGTCGCCAAACTCCCCCCCCCGGCTTTACATAGATTCTAGCAGTGTGAATTCTAGTTTTACAATTGAAGGAAATATATATAAAGTTTTCAATCCTGGAAAGTGTATTTGTATTCTCATGTCGACCAAAGTTTAAACTCCAAACCCGTGAAAACTATTTATATAAAATGATTATTTATATTTCCGTTAACTTTACACTGTTTATATAAAAATGCCAATGAAAAGGGGACAATATAAATTCGAGAAAATATTTTGGAAAAGTATTTTTTAATTTATTCCTAAGTTTGTTCTATTCTACTTATCATTTGTAGAATAAATGAGAGATGATTATAAATAATTATTTCTTTAAATAAAAATATTAGTCTTAAACCAAGTATATCTAAACTGGTACTTTTTTCTAGCTCTCAGAAGAAAAATGCAGGTCATGCAAAAAGGGAGGGGGGGGGGTTGCTTCTACCGGACAATGATCGGAATCTTTATGTTTTAATTCTTTACAAGCATGCTTAGTGGTGTTAAAAGTACCTTTATAAATTAACCTCTTTTTTATGTTTTTTACATGTTTTGCTTTACATTCTTTTAAATTTATATACAACTGTACAATTTATATACAACTGTGGATTTTTTATTCGTATGCTCACTTTGTTAAAAATTTTCTTTATTTGAAATAAAGTTTCACGGGATAAAACTTTATTTTGGCACAAAACTGTACAAGGAAGTGAACTGTACAAGGAAGGGAACTGTACAAGGAAGTGAACTGTACAAGGAAGGGAACTGTACAAGGAAGTGAACTGTACAAGGAAGAGAACTGTACAAGGAAGGGAACTGTACAAGGAAGGGAACTGTACAAGGAAGTGAACTGTACAAGGAAGTGAACTGTACAAGGAAGGGAACTGTACAAGGAAGGGAACTGTACAAGGAAGGGAACTGTACAAGGAAGGGAACTGTACAAGGAAGGGAACTGTACAAGAAAGTGAACTGTACAAGGAAGGGAACTGTACAAGAAAGTGAGGTCAGTGAGGAAACTTTTCATTTTTTCGACAACAAATTAAGAATATTTAAGGAACTGATTACTCGTAGCAAACTGAAATTATCTATTCCTTATATCGTTGCAACCGAATGATGAAAACCTTTGATATTTTAAGGTTTGATTATTTTGGATACCAAAATTCATTTTTTTATGTGAAAAGGATACGATGTGAGGTTGAAAAGATAAAAAAGATAAAAAAGATTATGTGGCAATTTATCGGTTTATTGTTGTGTTTAATACCATGTTTGAACCTTCATGTCAGAAACAAATCTCAAGAACTGAAGAGGGTCAACCCAGACCAAAATATAAATTTTCTAAAATGTTGAACTATACACACCTACTTTATTTACTGTACAAAAATTGGATTGGATTGATGAATCATGTGAATGTTTTTGTCTTTTTTTGACAGAAATATAATTTTATCTCCAAATGCCACTTTTAATATCTAATACTAGGTATTTATAGATATAAATATAAAATATTGATAAATATAAATAAGTTTATAAGTATATTTTCAAGTAGTGAATTTTATCAAATATCAGATGAAATAATATTCTTTTTTTCTTATTACGATTAATCTTGAAGGATACGAATAAACTAAAAAATGTTTTAATGCTGGTACTGTACACGAACAAAGGACCAAATACACAATCAAGTGGAGGGAGGGAACCCCTGGACCCCATGAGCCTCTGCTATGCAGACATGAGCCTCCCAGATTTGATAGACAGACCGAGCCTCCACCATGCAGACCAAGCATCCACCATACAGTGAACCAGCCTCCACCATACAGAACAGCTTTTTTTAAATCTTGTTTTTTTGTTTAATAAAAAATGTTAACAATTTGACTTTATATGGGTTTGAACCTTGCTCCGCTGGCAACTGAGACAGGACTGAGACCATAGATTGACATCCTTGGAGAGACCTATCCAGACAAAACTTCTTGAAACCAGTCTTCTAGAGGCATGTTTACCAGGATGAGAAATGTTGTCTCAAAAACAGACCTTTTTATCTTTTCTGGAGCCAGCAGGCGGAGGATACCTATGGACGTGTCACAGAAAAGATTGGAGCCGAAGGGAGGAACAGAGACTACAGACAAGGAGGATAAAGGGCGAGAAACTCAACCTTAGGACAGGACTGTTGAAGAAAGATAAACCTGGAACTGATGGTGGAGGAGTTGGATGTGGTGTGGAAACCAAACGTTCTAAACAGTGCAAATGTAAGAGGTTTATGGTTCAGTGAATAATATAAACTGTTTACCTCCAACATAGGGTTTCCATTCGCAAAACTTTTGCGCAATTTTGCGGAACGAAACGCAAAATTTTTCTTTCTTTGCGCATCAGTTTTGCTCGAAAAAACAACAATTTGCGCAATCATTCGCAAAAGTCAAGATTTAAGCCGGCAATCAATTGAAACCGGTTTTTGGCTGATTTGAGACGCGGCTCAAATGCATTATTTTTCATTATTTTCAGTTCTTTGTATTTTATGTTTAAAAGTTTAATGTTTAAAGGAGAATAATGTGTGCCCATAAAATTATGCTCAGACATTAGAGAACCGAAAACTTTGGCAATCCATTTGATTTTAGTAATATTACATGACTTTAAGAGATCATAAACAAAGTTTTGAATTCCTTTGAATTAATACAAATTTTAAAAAAAGCCATACAGCCAACATAGCTAATAACTATCTATCTTTCTTCAAAACGGCTGAACCAATTTTGTGATAATAAACATGATCCCAGGGAAGGTTTATGGAAGGTCAAAATCAAATATTTTTAGCCTGGATAAAAATGTCGACTTTAAACTCAAAATGGGGACAAGAAAACCAGTAGTTTAAGGCTAAAGTTATAGAAAAGAGGCGCGAACGTTAAAGTCTAGTACATATGTATTTATTTTTTCGTTTATTTGGTCTGTTCCTTAAAAGTAACATTTAAAGTTAAAATTGAAAATGGGTTCACAGTGCTCTAAAAGCCTATAAAATCTACATATATATTTGTGTGACTTTAAACTTTATTGTATCCAATAAACTTAAAACACGATAAACTTCGAATTTATTGTACAAACTCAGATAATAAAAGATAAAAATTTTCATTACCGTTACAGTTAAGCGATTGTATCAATGCAATGAAGACGACTTTTTTATTTAATCAAAGAGAAACTTTTTAAACGTAAATCTTCTATTGACCTCTATGATTAGGTGTATCTATGATGTTATACAGCTTGATATGATTTAAAATTGAAATCGAAAGTTGTCATCATTGTATTGATACAATCGCCTACCACTGTAGTATGATAGAAAACTAATCAGAACTAATGATATTCGACCATATAGTTGTAAATATGTAAACAACATGATTTAATTCAATTGGATTTAACTGTAAGTAAAGACGGTTGTATTTTTAAAACTTATCATTTTGTTAGAATTGATGTAAGAATACTATTATTTTATATACTTTAGACATGTATATTTCAGCAATTTTATTTTTTTCAATTATAAAAGTTTTAAACAGACAGACATAATTTAAACTTTAGAAACAAAATATATATGATTAGTGTTTCTAAACAAACAGTAGCTGATACCATCTATCAATTGGATAAATAGAAACCTCGTGTTAAGTGTATGGCTAAAGTTTCACAAATCATCTAATCAAATCATCTAATCAAATCATCTAATTTCTTAATTTACGTCAGAGACTTATTTTTTAACCCATCAGAATTATATTTCTACAAAGGAATTGAGTCTTTGGAACAAAATTAAATATTTAAACCTCAATATCTTTAGAACTCAAAGTTGTAAACCTTTGATATTTCAAACTCAGATTATTTGATCTAACAGAATTCATAGTTTGAAATATCTGAGGCCTGCAACATTCGGTTCCAAAGATATAGTGATTAGAAAATCAGAGTTTGTTGCAAAGACTCAATTCCTTTAAACATAAAAATCCACATCATAATTGATTGTTATTATTTCAATATGCACGGGAGGCTGGAACAATGCACATATAAGACAAACAAAAATATTTCATCATATATATAACAAAGATTTTTACTTTTGCGGTATTTTCGATTTTCTATTGTTTCTCATTTTTTCGTTTCAAAAATCAAAGTAAATGTATTTGTAGCGCGTTTTTGATGTTATTAAACACAGATTGAAACTGAAATAAATTTATTGTGAACCAGGCATAATTTTGTATTTCTAGTGCGTGCAGCAAAGTCGGAGTGGTTAAAACACAAACTTCTGCATCTGTAATAGGAAGACGACTTTTATTCTCAAATTAGTCAAAATGGTCCAATAGACATGAGACACAGCAATTGGGCAGTATAAAAAAACAAACCCATTTTATAAATAAGTTGTGACAGAGGTTACAACTAAACTGTTTGCTGTG